GAGATTTGCTCTATTAATCCAGACCACTGCATTTTATATGTACTAAGATGTACCAGCAGTCTTTTTGTAGCTTTTTTAGAATAGTTTTGTATACCCTGTATCAATAACAACTCTTCCGAAATTTTCATCATCATAGCACATTATGCAGGGCTCATCACTACTAGATTTAGCTATCACTTTTATAGATGGAGGAAGCACCCCTTCGGGTTTTGCAATGGTTTCACCTTCATGGATACTGCCAACTATGCCTGTGAATATTTCGTGAATTGAAAATTTTCCTTTTTCAGGAATTTGGGAATTCGATGGAATGAGCAGCTAACACCCAAGATCGTTACCATGTAAAGTGAATCCCAAGAGTTTTCTTAAAACAATGTTAGAGAGGCTACGATAAGTTGTATCATTATCTTCAAATATCATTAGACCATTACCTTTCTTCCAAAAAGTGTAAACCGCTTCCACATATTCTTTTCTTTTAGTATAAGTACCTTAATAGTCATCACTTATGATCATTGCAGAGCTATATTCTCCACCGTTGATAAGTTTCACAAACTAATCTACATCCTCAGTAACTTCAACTTCGAATTTTTTTCTTCTTAAATCATTTCCTGCATTTTCATTAAATGATTCTAATGTGAATCCTTCACGATTAAAGAACTTTCCAACAAGAACTTTAATGAGAACCCCAGAGTCATTACTCAACTAAAACATTTTACCAATTGCATTACCGTTTTCGTTGAGCTCTAAAAATCCGGCTTTAGCAAGATCTTTAATTTCCTGAGGTTCTTTTGCGGCAGGTTTTACCCATATTATAAATTTGCTATATAATGTTGGTTAACCATTTCCAATGACCATAATGTCGTTACCTTTTGCAACTAAATCAATTTTTTAAGTAGGAGATTTTTTGCCTGGTCCTAAATCCTTTGCATATATAATTTTGGCCTAAGCTAACATTATTATGATTTGGCTAATTTGGTAAGGGTTTAACTCGTCCCCACATGGACATTTATATTCATCTAATTCACTAATATTCAATTTTTCCCCCTTCAAGTAATATAAGGGAAGAACTTATATAGGAAAGTTTTAAGCTTTGCTACATGATTCATCATCGCAAGGCTTGCTAATAACAAAGTTTAATCCGGGCTCAAATTTGTGAAATTTAACATTAGACGACTTCATTTCTTGCTCGGTTATTTTCTCTTCTATTGAATATTATTCTTTAGGATTTAAAGATACGAACATGTTCGAGAAAGTATTAAGACGCAACTTCAATAAGCCATCTTCTTCAGATTAGCATGGGATAGTTCGCCAGATATCAAGATCCTTAGCCGGCTAAGTATTTTTCTGGATAAATATGGCATAGTTAGCCTACGGCTTGGCCGTAATTTACAATTCAACAGTTCTCTTAAAAAATATATCGTGAGGCAAAAGTTCAACAACTTAAGCTTCCTTATCTATGGATTGATGAAAATCACTTTCAAAATTATCTAATTATTGCTAGCAAATGCCTTCATCTTTCAAAATATCAGGAATTACCATCTCTACACGATTTTCAATTTCGAAATACTATTCGAAATCTCTTTAACCTGCAAATAGCATTACAATGTCCTTATTTTTCATTCCGTAACTATTTAATTCAACATCATCTTCTAGCAGCTTGCCTGCAAAAACGATGCGCTGTTCATCACAAGAAATGGCTGTATAGCCTAAGATACGTCTTTTTAAATGTTATACAAGCAAAAATTCCTAAACATTTTAGACAGTAAACGTGGACTCTGAAACTATTCTTCCATTTGATAAGAGGATTTTACGCACATTGATTTAGTACGATATGCTTTCCATATTTCTACTTGTTGAATTTAATAATAATTACTATAAATTGAGGCTCCTTATATTTTGATTAGATTTAGTATTAGATTTTAATACACTTTAGAACCATTTCCGATACATAAGTGACCATTATCACTATGTGCAAGTTACCCATAAATGGTTAAAATCAAATTTAAGGTGCTGAAAACATCCCTTTATGCATAGGAAAAGTATCATTAATATCACTTTTTTGCAATTTTCGTTTTGGTCAGGCCATTTTATTTACTCCAAGTTGACTTATCATAAAATGCCAGAATAAATTTATGTTTAGCGGTAAAAAATATGGCAAGAAGGATTCCTTTGAGGGGAGAAGTATCGAGTTAAAAGAATATGACGTTGAGAGTGAAGTGATTAATGAATTAATATATTTTGACTTTTATAATAATTTCAGTCCTATTTAGAGCATTTAATTTTGTCTCAAGGGCTCATTGCCCAAAGAATCTGTGCATCTCTTTTAGTATAAAGCTTGCTCATGTAGATAGTGGTTACTAGCTTGACCACTATAGGATTGAGAACTATCTAGCTCTTCTTCAAGAGTGACACAAATTGAAATGATGACAGGGAATTTCTTCTCTGGTGTCATGATTTTGTCACCGCTAAGATCTCTCAGTTGCATTTGTCTGTTAACATTTTGCTCTATTAAAACCCAGGATAACAGTTTTCCTGCTTTCATTGATCTTGACAATTACTGTAGTCATCGAAAGAAACAGAGTGTATAGTCATACCTTCTTATAACCAATGTAGTCATTGATACAATGATGGTGTAATGCTCAGAGATGTATTCATCTTGTTCAGTTAGAGAAGGCTTTAATAATCAATATCCCATGTAATAAAAAGGAGGAATATTAGCAGCATTAAATTCTTTTGTGATTACTTCATTACAGTGGAATAGGACTGGTAATTCCTTGAACTCATTGATGTAAGCAGTATTCCCTACTGGGGTGGTTACTTTGAATCTCACTTCAACAATGAGTGCTTCAGATTTATCAATGACTGCAATATTATTGAAGGAGTAAAAGTGTTACTTGAACTTGGACTGTTCTTCAATCTTGAACTCAAGATCACTCAATATCACTCTAGGCAGGAATAGTCTTTTAGTAATTCAAGGAGAATATGTTATAAGAGTCTTAACCTCTTAAAGAATATCTAGCTTAGGGAAGTACGACTCATCCATAAGCAGCAGAGAAGTGTAGTCAAACTTCTCTTATCTAATTCTTCTTTGCTTGAAGGATTTAATACCGATACGGTATGAAATTTTGTCATCAAGAAATCTTAGGATTATTGTTTTGACTCTCTACATAAGGTATTCATTCTGGGAACACCATAATAAAATTGCTTTTTTATTATCAACTCATAAGAGATATCATAATGATATCGGCAAATAACCTAATCTTGCCCCCAGTTAGAGCTAATCATTCTTAATTATCTTGCCACAGTAAATTTGTTATCAACTCAAGACTAATTAAGAGCGAAATACATTTTTTTGAGCTTTTTATTATCAGCACCTAGATCAAACTGATTCTATCATCAGTGCTCTATCTAATGCCCTCGTTCAAGCACTTGAGCTTTCCATACCTGGCCTATAATATATTCAAGAAGTGTTTTATAGAATTCGCATCAGTAATGCAAGCATTAGTCATTGCTGCTTTTAATATCCTTAACCATAAGTAATGTATGCCTTCTCGCGTTGAATTTCTTCCTTCTTTATTATTTCTTAATTACTAGCTTCCTCTAAAATGATAATAACTCTCGTATCTAATCAAAAGAGATTGTTGGCTAGGTTAGTCTTGTCTTATGTGTTCTGTGTTCAAATAACATAATCGCTTATATCTTTTAAGAACAAAGCACACATTATTGCGCCAGCAAAATTTTGTGTTTCAGATGTTTTACAACTAGATAGAGTCAATTAATCAGGTACTACAAACTACCCTATCTATTTATAGTATTGCATAAGTCAGACTTATGTTCTGTGCTATACTTCCAGTATTTTTTAAACTGAATGCAGTGAAGCAGTCAAATTATGTGAGAAATTTTAATGCAGAGATTGTTTATTCTCTTAGCTTGTTATTTTGAGTAAACTAAAGAACATTTC